TCTCTCTCTCTCTCTCTCTCTCTCTCTCTCTCTCTCTCTTCTTCCTCCCCCCCTCTCTCTCCCTTTCTCGTTTTCTTTCTCTTTCGTTAAAAAACTTATAGCTACTTAGAATTATGCAAGATAAAAAAATGTCATTGTTCCGTGTGCGCTCGTCACTATCCCTCACGTCTAATTCTTATCAGTCTTCCGCTTCTTGTGATCGTGCGCGTGAACAAGATGGTCGACGTGAGCGTCATGATACGAGGGACTATAGCCATAGCCATGGCCATAACCATGCGGCAACACATGACCAATCCCTTGGCCGAAGCCATGGGAGAGAGCCTCGAGGCCGTGGCCGTGTAAATGCATGGACGGGTGAAGGTGCAGCGACGCGAAGGGATGGCTGTGTGCGTAGCCACGGGTGTAGATGGCGCCAGCCAGCCCGCTGGCAGCCAACAGAGGCGCTGAGTGCACCGGAACAGGAAGTGGCGCTGAATGTACCGGAATTGGAACTGGCACTGGCACCGGCACCGGCACTGGGTGTTTGACCGCGACCGGGTATGGCTGCTGCACTGGTACCGCGACGGGATGCTTCACCGGGATCGGTATAGGATGCTCCACAGGAAACGGCACTGCCTGTATGAACGAAAGAGATAGGTTAATATTTCTGTTTTCCGAAAAATTCTGTTCGATTCGCGCTTGCTACGACGAAAACACAGAAACTTTAGCAGATACTCTGGTGGAAATATTTTACTGAAAATCTCCTTGAATTGATCCCTTTTTATTAAAATTCATTACGTTCATAAAATTCATTAAATTCATTAAGATTCTTCAAGACTAATTAAAATTCATTAAAATTCGTAAAATTTATTTTATTGTTATGTAACAATAAAATTTCATGAATTTTAATAAATCTTAATGAATTTTACGAATTTTAATGAATCTTAATGAATTTTAATGAATTTTAATAAATTTTAATTCGTTTTAATGAATTTTAATTCATTTTAATCAATCTTAAAGAATCTTAATGAATTTTAATAAAAAGGAATCAATTAAAAGAGACTCAGTAAATATTTCAATAAAATATTTCCATCGAGGTAATCTTTAATTTTTGAAAATATAATCAGGAAGGTTGGAAATATGAACTCTTCGATTAAAATCTAGGAAAAACGTTTTTGGTTGGAGCAAGACGGAAGCTTTCCGCAAAATTTAACTGAAGAGAAAAAGAAAATAAAGTCAAAGATCAATTCATATAGAACAGAACGCCCTGAGATTATCTTAGATGTACTCTGGACGTTCTACAGCACTCCCCAGAACATTCTGGACACGTTCAGGATAATTCTGGGATAATTTTGTGCCGTCAGGGAATGTCCGTCATTAGCGAGACAAATCTCGTTTCTACGAATGAAAGTAAGACTGACGAATGAATTACCTGGGGCACCGGTATAGGGATAGGGACCGGTCTGTGAATGATCTTCTCGATCGGTACCGGTATCACCTTCTCCACCGGCACGTGATACGGTTTCTCTATGATCACCGGCTCAGGAACTGGTACCGGTTTTTCCAGCACCACATGCTTCGTTATGTACACTGGCAGAGTCTTTACGATGCCGGGGGTTAGGGCGATGCCACCCTTACCGTAAGTAGGAAGCGCACCCGCTAAATGCAACCTGTCGAGCGACGAATTTTCAAAAAAACATGACAATATTTTATTATCATTGTTATGTAATTTTTTATTTAGCATTAAAAAAATTAAAAATTTTGTTCATTTTATTTTTGTATGATTTTTGCGCTAACAAACAAAAAGTACGAACAAAAAGTACGAATGAGATAATCAGAGAATTTAGTTTGTTATGTAAATTAATTATTGAAAATCATCGTAAAAAATTAATTATTTAAAAAATAAATATTAATATAAACAGATATAATCATTTGTAATTAATTATATATATATATATATATATATATATATATATATATATATATATATATATATATATATATAATTAATTATAATTAATTACATTAATAGTTACAATAATATATACATATATAAAAAATCAACATTTAAACTCTCTGTAACGTTCGACCAATGTCTCTTCAACAAACAAACAGTAGAAACCAATTAATTAATTGGAATTATTTAAAAAAATTAAGCTTAGATGCAAGATGCAAGATGTATGTATTGAATTACTTAATACTTTATCTCAGCGCTAATTTTTTTCAAACTTATTAATGTAACCATTATCGACATTAATTCAGCATTTTACCCAGAATGCAGGTTGACCTCTGGCAGTTTGAGCCCTTTCCAAGGCGCGTGATCGATCATCCACGGGTGCCCGTGTCCATATCCGTAAGGACTTGGTAGACCGACCCATCCGTCGTTGCTGACGATACCTCGTTTCTGCTGCTTCGCATCCTCCGGCACCGACGCGAGCGCGCAAGTACACAGCAGTGTGAGGAACAGCTGAAATATCGCGTCGATGCGGAAATTCACTCAACAACCCTCAGCAACAGTAATATTTATAATTACAACACGTTTACGTAGCATTTGCTCGTCAAGAATCGTCACGTATTCACAGCGTTACAATACGCAAACAAATCTACGGTTGAAATCAAAATCTAACTAGGACAGTCGCGAACTTACAAAAGATTAACTTTGACTTACGACACCCGACTAACGAGATACTTTTATCAAGGCAATTTATTCCTGAAGATTGATCAGCAGAGACTTACGGGGATCTTCGACATTGCTCTCTCGTCGCGGTTGAACTGTTCGTGAAATCCTCAGGACGGAAACCTTTTATATTTACGGAACGAGCTATCGACAGTTTGACGGATCCAGAACGAGGAGCAAGTCGGATTCCCATCTACGATCAGATCGGGGAACTCGCTCTTGTCAATCGATACGACCCTCGCGCTTCCGCTGAGGAAAGTTGATCCCGACGGGTCTAGTTTCGCGACGGCATTTCGCGATAATGCGCGAATTCCTACGATGTGCAAAATAATAGAGACACATATGACAAATTAATTACTAAAATTTTCGGAACGAGATGAACAAAATAATTAATATTGTTTCGCCGAGAACGACACCAGTTTCGCGTTCGATTACAAGCTCGTAGCTACGGATGGCGCAATTACGTCCGACGAGTGAACAGTTTGTACCACTTACCCATATTCGTTTTAATTACGTCCGATTTACCGCGCTTCCAAGCACGTACGATCAAAAGGAAGCGTCCAGGAATTCGCCACACGCTACTCGATAGTATCGTTCACACGAGTAATTTATATAAGCTAAGACCTCTGAGTTAGAAACTCGCCCCTCTTTTTCCGTGTGAGAATGCATTCGACGCGAGTCAATACTAACTAACGTTGTTGCTAATGGTAAGAAGCAATGTCGAAGTATAACAAAAACGCTGATATGCATATGTAAAGGTAGAAAGTAGGAACGAAAATGAAGCGGACACGTACATACAGAAAAATGCATTCAAGCAAATGCTGTTTGTTTCAAGTGTCTTAGATAGCACAAGATTTTCAAGAGATATCCTGGGAACGTTCTCAAAACATAGGACGAAGAAATGTAAATTAAATAATCTCTTTTCTTAGCAGTAGAATGATATTTTTCTGTGTGCGTAAAAACGAGAGAGCAATGCGTTTAGCAAGAAGATGCAAGAAGAAGAAGAAGAAGAAAGAAAAACAGCTGAGGTTTGCAGAACCACCGTGAACATTTTCTTCCCAACACAAACGACGATTTTGCGTCCCCTTGTTATGTCGTATCGCGTACGTGAGTTCCGCTAATTCGCAATACGTGGCGCGAAGCTCGACCAGCGTCATTGGGTGTGTATGCTGTTATGTGTTCGCCGGCGAACGATGGTCAATGAATAATGAATAACGAGCAGTCGCGGCCGGCATTAGGAACGAGCGACGCATTAGAAAATGAAAGTTAGGAAAGTCTCTCCACGGCTAACGCGGAAGCGACGAGGAAAACGTGCACCTGTCTTGATCTCGTTGACCGAATAAAGGAAGACCACGACAAAAGGAACCGCGCACGATTTCCGTCGCTAGAATGATACTTAAGTCCTGCTCCAAATGACCGTTATTGAACGCTATTGACCGTTATTCTTTTTACGTGAGACTAAGGAGTTATCGACAATGCTTCAGTACATTAATACTGAATGCTGTGACTGGCACAGCTGTAGTCACTGTGGCCCGTATCAATAGCCATTACTTGAAACTTGTTTCATGTCACATACTCGGACCTGCATTTGAAGTTAAGGCTCCTGGTCCCTCGCATTGTCTATCTCTTTTTAATGACGTCAGAAGCGAAAAAATGCATGCTAAAAATTCTGGCGAAATACGTTGAAATAAAAATATATACCCATAAAGTAACACTTGTACATACACACACACACACACACAATTGATTAAACAAATTTGTAAGATATTCCATGCATTCCCTTTTTGCTTTAACAATTAATTTATGAATTATCCTTTATTTGTGAATTTATTTGTGAATTTATTTGTGAATTATGAATTTATTTGTGTATTTATTTGTGAATTATCCTTGAATAGAAATAGGCGAAGAAATAGGTTAAGAAGATGAATTGTATATCACGTTAATTTACGACAAATTATTGATTATTAGAACAAAAGGGGAGAAATATCTTATAAATTTGTTTAATTGATTGCAAGTATTACTTTATGGATATATATTTTTATTTATTAACGTATTTTGCAAGAATTTTCAGCATGCATTTTCTCGCTTCTGACGTCATTAAAAATAAATAGACAATGTGAGAGGCTAGCTCTCTTTTGGTCGTATAACCGATTTTCCAAGTGCATTTAATTACGATTAAATGTACATACTTTATGTGTAACTTAATGGAGCACGTTGAATTTCTTGCGTTGCCTTATATGACATATGCGATATTATATTTGTAATTATGATTTAATTGAAAAAATTCATGTCTAATTAAGTTCAAATCTATGTATCTCACTTGAGTTTCAAGTAACGATTGTTAACACGCAACTATACGACTAATGAGACTATTGCGTCTTATTAAATTATTTATTAGTAGCTTATCAAGTATTTGTACAAAGTATTTGCATTTAATTGCAATTCCAATTAATTGTATTTGAAGAATTGGTTATATGATCAATAGAGAGTCGGTGAAACGAGGCAAAAGATATATGCGTTTCGAATTATATTTATTTACTACATTTTAGGTAATTCAATCACTGGTTAAGCTTTTGCACAGTCGACAGAAATAAACGCGGTAGTAATCAACATGTTAGTAGAGCACGTTGTCTCGTAACGCATACATCACAGTAACATCCGTGATGTGTACAATGCACTCGAGTGGCAAATCGATTCCAGCGACGTACGCGCGCGATATTGAAACGAGCGCTCACGTATCGAGAACAATCGCGGCTATCTGGACGATCTGGAAGAGCGAAGTCGCGGTCTCACCGCGCCGCTAATGTATGCTTCAGGGTGCCTCGGTCTGCGCGTCTTCCTTGTCGCCTTCGTGGACTTCGCAGGAGAGAAAAGCGGCCTCGGCCGACTATTTGGCTGCCACCCAGATTCGGCAGTAGCGAAAGTGTATCGGCCATAGAATCGCTCGTGACGATTGCTCCTCTTCTTCGGCTGATGCGTCGCCGACGGCTGATGCCCTATAAATACTTACGGGGGTCACGATTCCTGAACAAACTCAGTTTTTCGTCGGCATCGCGACTAGCAACTGGAACCCGAGAACGATCGGCCATGAAGCTTCTTCTGGTACGAGTCCTCGTGTTTCTCTTATCGTCGAGATCGCGTTCGATGTAACACGCGCAGTTAACCAAGGCAGATAAGACAAAGGACGCGATGCGATGATTCAGTGACTTATGTGTCGTTTGTGAATCGCGACTAATTATTGTGCAACGTTTGAATACAATATCGTGTAATCCAAAACACACTTTGGATATGTGATTTGAAATTCGCGATATTAAAGAACAGAGAATTATATTATAGATAATATACAGGGTGTTAATTAAGTACGTTGCCATACTCAACAGAGCGATTCTTTGGTTTATTTCAAGTAAAATTTCAAGTAAAGTTCATATAAACATCCTAAATGGCTTAATTTCTGAAATAAAAAAATTTAAACGTGTAGTAATAATCTATTTCGTTTAGAACAGCTTCCTCTAGTATGGTGTTCTAACATAGGCTTTCCAAAATCAACAGTGTTCCTTACAAAAGAATCCTTTTCTCGAAGATAGCGGTGAATATTCGCAAATATTTTACGACATGGTAAATTGCGTTGGGGATATTTTTCTGCATAAATACGCCTTGCCTCACGTGAGTTACTATATGCAAGACCGTAGGCAAAGTGCATATCTGTCATTTCAAAATTTGTAAACTTAGGCATTATGAAACCGATATAGAAACCGATTTTGATGGACTGAAACAATTTGGCCCGAAAACGTATGCACAAGCTAACCGACCCGCAGCAACATGAAGTTCATATAAAAATGTGTCCTAAACGGCTTAGTTTCCGAAATACAGGTGAATGTTCGCTAATATTTGACGAAACGATAAATTGCGTTGGAAATATCTTCCTACATAAATACGCTTTGCTTTACGTGAGTTACCAAAAAAGACTTTTTTTTATTTTATGACTTTGATTTTGACTTTATCACTTTGTTTACGATCGTGCGAATGGTAACTCACGTGAAGCAAGGCGTATTTATGTAGGAAGATATTTCCAACGCAATTTATTGTTTCGTCAAATATTAGCGAACATTCATCTGTATTTCGGAAACTAAGCCGTTTAGGACACATTTTTATATGAACTTTTTTACTTGAAATAAACCAAAGAATCGCTCTGTTGAGTATGGCAGCATACTTAACTAACACCCTGTATATAATTATGCGTATGGTTACAGAATTATGTATATATATAATTTTATATATTATTATTATCACGCGAAAAATTAAAAATTACGAATTTTAGGCGGTATGTTATATGGATCAATATTCGAAGATGCATTCGTTTATGAATGTAATTCTGATTCTTCGAACGTTTTTTTGCAAACTGAATTTATTCTGTTGCGAATTACATAAATTTTCTGAAGCAAGAGAGAGAGAAAGAAAACCTAAACTGATATCCTAACTAACCGTGATCTCATTCCCACATAGATAATGTCGCTGGTGGCGGCTAGCAGTGTAGCAGTTACTGTCGAGAACAATTTGCGACGAAAGAACAGTGCTTCTGTAGGAGAGAAGAAACACGGCAAAAGAGGACTCGACCATTTGGGATATGGCTTACAGCAGGAACATCAGGAACACTTGTACGGACCACCGGCACAATCGCCTCCTGTTTACGAAGTCCCAGCGCCGGACGTCAGTCATCCGATACCAGGATACATTCCGGAGCCGTCACCGCCGGTCGCCGTTGGACACCCAGTTGGTTAGTAAACGCTTTATGCTTGTTTTACAAAAAAGCTCTTATTTTATAAAGGAATCTTCATTCTTTATTGACTCCAAATTTAAATTTTTTTATTTGATTTCTGCAGTGATCATTGATTAATCTTTATCAATTAATAACTCAAAATTTTACGTGGTTGTTTGCAAAATAATAAAGAAATTTCGTGTTCAATTTGATAAACTTTACCTACACACAACATGTATGTCAATGATTGTCAGACACCCTGTATAAGCCAATATTACGTTTGTTGTACTTATAACATAACATGGTTCTTTTTGAAACAAATCAAGTGACGCGATATCGTCGCGACGCCAAGTACAAGTAAAGACAAATCCGAGAATGACAGACCGAGACCGAGATGTGACTATGTTCATGGTATACGACGCTACCAAGAAGCTTATCCGGAATTTTTGCGACGATCGTACTTCCAACTAAAATATCTCGGGAAATAAAGCCGCAATGGAAAATCTAATTACATTTCTGACAGAAACGTTAATATAAGCTTTCAATTGCGACCAGTCTGAAAAAATTAGTGCTGTCAATCCTGCTGAGATCTGAAATTATCACAATCCAAAATACAAATTTCCAGCGGTCGGTTTTTCCTTTCGATCGATTAAATATATATCGCGTCCTCTTTTCAGCAGCAGTACCGGTTCCACAGCCGATACCGCACCCGGTGCCGCAACCCGTGGCGGTGCCCGTAGCAGTGCCGATCACGAAGCATGTGCCGTTCCCCGTGCCAGTGCCAATCCACATTGACCGCGCAGTACCGGTAGCGGTGCCTGTTCCCAAGCCGTATCCAGTCACCGTGGAGAGGATCGTTCCCGTGGACCGGCCTGTTCCGGTGCCTGTCGAGAAGCCGGTGCACATTCCGGTGGACCGCCCGATACACGTGCCGGTCCCGGTGCCAAAGCCATATCCTATCACCTTCGAGAAGATCGTGCACGTGGACCGGCCGTATCCGGTGCACGTGGCTGTACCGGTACACATACCGAAGCCGTATCCGGTACCGATTGCCATTCACGCGCACTACAAGTCGCACGCCTGGTAATTCGTTCGTTCCACGTTATACTCGTCTTCCTCGGCGCTTCAATGACAATATTAAGTACATACGTGTGTCTCGTCTGTCGTCGCTTAACACGGGGTAACTTTCATAATATCATAAGTACGATTATCGTAGAGTTAACGTGGATCATAATTAATCTTGCCTGACGAGATGAAATGTGCGTTCAGGACTGATGTTGCGTCGACGAAGTTTTGTACGTTCTTTTTTAAATAAACAATGTTATTAAAAGCTTCTTTACTGCTATCCTACAAGCGCGCTAAAAGCTAGTTGAAAACCACTAAAATTCTGAGATTCTCGACAAATCGCATTGTTACTAGGAAAGGAAGTGCGGCGTTGCATGAACTTGTACTGTTAATATTGTTATCATGATTAATGCAACCACAACAGTGTCACGATCGCGACACGTGAGGTAGTTACAAGGTAAGAACCAAATCACTTATGCATTTATACACTACACAGTAACAAAGTTTGTGAGCTTTCAAGTATGACATCGTTACGACGTCGTTAACGTCCTTGCCCTTTAATCACATCATCGATATAAAATGTTTAACGACACAATTACTTCCTCTAGAATTATTCTTATTATTTTTATTGTACAATATTTTTATATATCTTACGTATATAACATGACACTTCGCAATTACAACAGCGTTTAATATTTGGATATCTCATTATTTCATTGTTTCAGTGATGAGATTATGAAACCGATAAAACGTTGCGTCGAATGGACCAAATGATCGTCGTGAAGCAGCGAAAAGAACAAAAACGAGAAATTTACATATTGAATTATTTGATAGCCGCTATCACTTTGGAGGGGTATTGCCGGCCAATGAAAGGTCTTCGCGTGTCCTCAGATCTCCTCCCCGTTCTTGCGCACTCACTATCGAACGACGCGGTCGAACGTGGAAAATGTCGCACCTACGGAAAAGTGTACCAATGGAGGCGACAAGGAAAGGTCGTGCTTTCCACGTAGCGGCTCTCTCATGCATTGTTGACGAGCGAATACTTATTGTTAGCTGAGGCATTGCGCTCTATAGGCATGTCGTTCATATTATAGGTGTTAGGAAGCGTATATAATCCTACTTTTTCCTATAAATCTGCAATTTTTTCAGTTAACCATGAGCAGAGATTCCAATTTTCGGTCGATCAGTACTAAATCATGGAAAATTTAGTCGACCGCGGATCTCTATGGATTACTCATAGATCATTGATGCATTGATGTATCCGCGAGGATACCCGGACAGCATAAATTTTTAAAAGACGTCTAAAAAAATAGGACGTCTTTAAGACATCTTTTAGAAGTTTGTTTTGTCTGGGTGTAGACATTTAAATATTTTTCGCGTTAGATCCATACGCACAAGTTGTAACTCAAGCTGTGACAGCTACGTTATCGCTATTACAATGCGTTTAATGGCAATTTAACGATTGAAATTTACAGATTTTCGTGAGAAAAGCAAACAGCCCAGCAGCCTGGTTAGCTAAGAAGGTTAACTATACTCGAGGAATCGTGCGAACCTGAACGTGATGCCGCCGCTGACTATCGACCATCATTCACTCCGTTCTCTGTTCCGTAAATAAAACGCGAAAACATGTGGACGTTCTCGCCATCTGTCATCCGCGAAAATGCCCATATCATCTCTCAAATCGGCATACTCTGGAAGAAACGGTAACCCCGTTACCGGTATCAGCTAGTTGCTATCTCTTAGCCATCATAGCTCTCAGTATCTGTACGTTTAGCGACATAGATACATGGATCTTCTCTCTGGAAAGCACGGACGACAGACGTTTCTTCTCAGTGAAAACCGAGTTTTCTCGCGATTTGTGTTATCGCCGCGGTAATCCGGCGCGATCTCTCGTTTTTGGTTGATCAGGATGACTCTCTTGTTCCGAGAGAATTTGCTTGATCTCGCGAACTCGGCGAAAAGAACATGGTGATGGCAATTCTAAACTGACAACTATACAAATTTTATATACAGAATTCATATATACGGTTTAATAAACTATTTTGTAGTTGTCGCAACTTAAATTTTAGTTATAATAATTATAAAATGATTTATTAAGCATATGAATAGTTTATTAATATACAGAGTGGTCCACTTAAATCAGACACCTTGAAAACTTCATTTATTTTTGATAATACGGAAAAATGTTTTAGATGAAAGTGGAAGGGTGTCGAGGGGGACATATTTTGGTCACGTTTTTTTTCTAGCTGGAGGCGCTAAAGATATGAGGGTCGCCTTCACTTTTTTAAATGGAATTATGATTTTTTTATAAATATGATTCCTTTATTTATTTTATGTATAAAAATACTGAAAAATATAATTGTCGAAAAATCAATAGTTTACGAGATATTTTATACTTCATTCTGACAAAAAATTTAGTCAAGGAAATGTTCAAGATGATGTCCTCCCTTTCATCTGAAACATTTTTCCGTATCATCAAAAATAAGTGAGATATTCAAGGTGTTCGATTTAAGTGGACCACCCTGTATATTACAATTCTCGTATAGCTGTCACCTATATAGCTGCCATCCCCTTGTTTTCTCTGAGTGCGGTATGACATGCGATGTTGAAGCTACACTTCGCAGTTCGTGTATTTGCATGATGCATGAGAGAATTTCTCAATTAAACTCCATTTAACAAGCAGTGATGGTCGTTTCTCAATTTAATTGTTGTATGCATTATTTTGAAGTTGATAAAAGTGCGTGTCAAATCCTCTTTTATAAAGAGCTCTAATGACGAAATTATACCTAATAATAATTCTCGGCCCATTACACAAGCAAATCTCAACTTACAATTGAAGCACAAGTTAATTTTTACAAAAATTAATTTTCTCTCTGCTTTCTTGTTACTCACTGTAATACATTTTTTTCTACGGGAGATACATTCTTCTATTTATATATTTTCTATATGTCTTATTTAGTACGACATAATTAAACCTGTCAAGTTAAATACTTCGTAAATTACATGCATGTGATTACAAGCGCGTAAATTTTGACAATCAATAAGGATTATCTCCTTGGCTTTTTATTTAATCATGGAACTTCGATCGTAATTTTCATTCTTTCTTGCCTGCCCACCTTCCCATCTTTTTTGTTGAACATACACAAGCTTCGACTTTCCTTCGTACATCGAAACTCATTTTAATGGGACCTCGGTTACGATAACTACGTCTACGATAGACGTCAGTAATAATACAGAGCTTACTCCAGAGCGGGTAGCGTATCTATAGCGAGCTCATGTTTAATGAATCATTCGGCGCCTTTTGCGCTCGATAGGCGTTACACTTGACACTAAAGGCGCGGATCTATACCGCCGACTTAAGGCCGACAAACATTGTAGCGATCGAAAGAAATGCACTTCTATGCCATACAATTGTAGTGATAAGGCATATTTTGCACTCCGGACTAAAGATTACTTTCTGCGACTGACTTTCCGAATCGGACGAACTGTTTCAGTCCAATTATTATCGAAAGGAATGCTATCCATATAACAATATTCGAATATTCTTAGAACGTTCTTAGGATATCTGTTGAACATTTATGCTACATGGGATTCTAATTTTATAAAATTATATATTTTTAAAAAATCATATAGTTTTATAAAATTTTCTATTTTCAATACATGGCTTATTTTGTCGGTCGAAATGTAATTATAACTAAATTTTTGTTATAGTTTGCTGGAAAAATTTTCTGAAATGTTCAGTCTCATATATCACAAAGAATTCAAAAAGAATTTAGTTGTATGTCACTAATTCTGAGTACATTTTTAAATACAAAAAGAAATCTTTAGAATTCAGTTCAGTGAAAAGAATTCTTTTTGTATTTAAAAATAAACTCAGAATTGGTGGCCTACAACTGAATTCTTTTTGAATTCTCTGTGCTATCTGGAGTGCTAACCTTAACAATATAGATATCCAAAAGATGTGCAGAGTATGACCTGAGGATATCCTGACGACGTTTCTACGTCTCAGAACATTCTTGGGACGTCCTTAGGACACCTTGTGTTATTTGAAAATTGTTTTTCACTCAGTTTGAATACCAATGTGTTAACTTCATACAATTTGAAAATTATTAAAAAAACTTAGCATCTAGTTTAAAATATATGTCAATTTTGTGTTTAAAATTATATTACGCATACGAAATTACAATCAGGATTTGTATCTCTGCGTGTTAAACTGTACATTATAATGAAACGTCATAGTGAAACTATCATCAAATTAGAATAGGCAAGCTGGCTATACATATTTGGCCAGCAAAATCCAATTGGCGAATAATGTATACATATACATTTAATGAGGAGGAAACAGAAATAGAAACTTAAATAAATATCTATAAACATATGATATTGTATATTGAAATTGTCCGAAAATGACAAAAATTCAATTTTTTCTAAAACTTTTGTGATAAAAAATATCATTCCTAAATTTCTTTTGAAGGAGAAATATTTAAATTTAATACAAATTTATAGTTTTAGTAAAATTTGCTTTTCAAATTTCTGTCATACACAACACAGAGTCATCAAAGTACTTCTAACTTGATTTGCACACAATTGTTCTTAGAAAGTTAAACTTATTAACTATAAACCTAAAATAACTTTTAAATTACAGTTTTAACTTTTTAACTTTTAAGTATTAAATTAACGTTTTAACTTTTTAGTATTAATTTTGGAAGCCCTCAATTTGATATTTTTAGATCTTCTAAATATATGATAGAGTTAATCCAGACAGCACAAGATCTCCAGGGGATGTCCTGGGAATATTTTCAGAACGTAGGGTCGTTCTCAGAACATTTTTAGAGAGAATGTCTTGTGGAGATCTGTGCTATTTGGGAAACCGACACTTTAAATTTAATTAATTAAGGCTTTGTTAAAGAAAATGGCTTGATTGAAGAATTAATTAAATATACCCTATATATATATTGTTTTCCACACATTATTTTGAAAAAAATGATACATGTAAAGCTTGCACAGCGCACGCGATAGCTTCTTCTAGGAAGAGAAGCAACTGTGTCTTCATTGCGAGTTCAATAAATCTATCCAAAAGCTTCTGATCGCGCAGTCGCAAGGCACCGATGTCGTCGAATCACGAGCATTGGACAAACAAAGATACGCGTATGTGTGTGAGAATGTGTGAATGTGAAAATAACCTCGGAAAAGTGAACAGTTTGCTGGTGAAAGCTACTGAAGACCAACGACAAAGAGGTGATCAAAATCGAAGAACGAGACGTCGACGCAGGAGCGAATCCTTCGGTAACTTCGGTAATCGTGCTTTCCAAAGAACTTCCTCAGGTGTGCCACAAATACTCAAAGCAACAAACGATACAATAGAAAAAGAAAAAAAAATAGAAGAAGCGAGATCAAGAAAGTCTTGTGAAGTTCTGTTACAACAAAAAACCAAAGAATCGAAACTTTCATTTTATCAATTTTAGAATTCCAAGACTTTGTCTGTTTTGAAAATTGAGGATTTTGTCCAGTTTGAGACATGACGATCTTATCAATTTTTGAGATCGAGCCTTTGCCTTCAAAAAATGACTTTCGTCGTCTCCGAAAGTTGAGGATTTTGTCGAATCTGAAAACAGAATGTCTCGTTGATTCTTGAAATCAAAATTTTGTTAATCTTGGACAACAAGAATTCGGTAGAATTCAGAAAATCTCCAAGCTGAAGACTTTGTAGATTCTAGAAGCCGAGGATTGTGTCGGACAAAGGATGGGTAATTTTCAAGAATTCCTTTCCAAACGACTGAGGAACGATGTCGCGCGTCGTGCGCTGCGCCGAGTTAATGAAACTATGCGCAATCCGATTTTGAGGCGACTATTATCCTTTTCCAGCATCGGCAAGATCCTCAACGTCGTGCTACGTGCTATTGACCATAAAGTGTCGGTAATTTAATGTCGAAGTGATTAGTTTCGGTGAGAAAAATCTGTTCTTTTGAAATGTAACACTAGATTCTGTGAAAATTGCCGTTTTCTTTTCTCGCAATTTTTCATATTTTGAGACATAAAATCTAATACAATTCGCTCTTCTCGATACTTTTTCTCAGATTAATAACATGGTGTCTATAAAGAAGCTGGGACTCGCTGGACTTGGCACATTCTTCATTGGTTTCATTAATTACAACCTAGGTTTTCCTGCAATATTGAAATCACAAGTGAAATCGGTAAATAAATATCTTAAAACCATCAAAGTTTTTGGAAGTGTCAAAAGTATGACGATTCTTTTAACGTTACAACAATATATCGCATAAATTTGCAGCAAGTCAGTCTGAAGAAAGGCACGGAAATGCGCGATTTTTGGGAGAAGCTTCCGCAACCGTTACACTTCGCTATCTACATTTTCAATGTGACGAATTTTAACGAAATCAAATCAGGAGCGAAACCAATCGTGCAAGAACTCGGACCATTTCACTACGAGTAAGTGATAATATAAAAATGATATTATCATTTTACTGGTAATATAGAAGTGATTTGTACGTAATTATTTTAAAAACGGCATTACCGAATTAACCGTATTATATAAATGGCATACATACAACTCCTGGTTAGTCGCTGCGGAACTCTTCAATAAACACCAACTAACGTTGAAAGCGAGAAAATGTCCAAAATTCTGATCGAGATGACCGCGGCGAGTAGCCAGAAACCTTAAGTAACACTTGAACACGAATTTATTAGCGCGAGATGCGAAAGAAACTAATCGCAACATCGATATGATTTTCAGCTTATATCGGGACAAAGAGAACATCGTCGACCAAGAAGAAGAAGACAGTGTCGAGTATAGCTTGAAGCAAGTTTGGTATTTCAATCGAGAGAAAAGCGCCATGTCAGATGACGTGGATATCTATTCGTTTCATCCCGTTATGTTAGCAATAATCCTCATCGCCCAGAGAGACAAGCCATCCGCGATGGCAGTCATTAGTAAGTGCAATGTAGGAGATTTTGACATGTGACAAATAGAATGTATTTGTATACTCAAAAAATCTAAAATATCTGTATTTTTATCGAAAATTGAATGACTTCATCTTATGCCCTCGTTTTTTGCTCATTACTTTGTAATTTTTTTTGCGACCATGAATTTTGACTAGTTTGAAGTTTAAGGACTTTCTGGTCCCGAAAGTAAAGAATAGAGATTTTGTGAATACCAATCATCAAGCAATTCATGTCAATATTGGAAATCTTGGTCACTTTAAATACTTTGTCAATTTAAAAAAATTGAGGAATTTATCGATTCTACAAATATATCGAAGTTTCGTCGATTATGAAAATAGAATACATTTATTTGGTTATTTAGATTTACTTATTCTTATGTTATTGATAGGCAAGGCAATCGACAGTATTTTCAAGAAACCTGAATCAATATTCATCAAAACTACTGTGAAAGAATTATTCTTCCATGGTGTATACGTCGACTGTAGAAATATAACCGATTTCGCTGGATCCGCAATCTGTACCCTACTGCAAGAAAAGGACGAAATGTTCATAAAAGAAGGGGACTCAATTTACAAATACGGTTATCTCGCTAAGGTACGTGACATTCTAAAATAATCTTTTTATTATTGTAAGAAATTTAAATCAAATGAGAGTAATTAAAATAACAACTAAAATAGAGATAAACCAATTATTCTCTATTTTTGAAGTTTGCAATGTGCATTTTTACTTAGAAATAAAATGTGAGATATTTCGATAATAATATATATCTAAATATATTCTTTAACTTGTTTGACTTGTTTAACTTTGATAATTTGATCTGTTACTTGCGTTTTAGCGGAACGGGACTTACTTGCCAGATCGTATAAAAGTATTGCGCGGAATCAAGAATTACGAAGATGTAGGCCGCGTCCTATCTTTAGGAAACGGGACGAAGATGAACTTTTGGTCAGGCAGCCCCTGTAACGACTTCCGCGGCACGGATGGAACTATATTCCCGCCCTTTCTTAGCAATGATAAACTTGTTTGGGCACACTTTCCGGATATCTGTCGAAGTATAGCAGCCTACTATGTCGATCCAGGAAAGATTAAAGGTATCACTGATCGAAGGTATCTCGTTAAAACGCGTTCTTCCATATAAGTATATATGACAGCGTAATATCCGGCGACAAATCAGTTATTAATATCTCATAAAAGGATATAATTTTATTTAATAATTAGTTAATTCTATTATGTACAATTTTATAAAATATTTAATAAATCCAGTTACTAATAACATTAAACTCAAATTAAGTAGTATTTCAGTAACAAAAAAAGTCAGCAAATAAAATTCCATAAATAAAAAGTCAGTAAATAAAATCAAATAAGATATAAATAAAATATAATATGATAAAATCAAAAGATCTAAATTTTATAAAAAATAACGTTATGTGTGTGTGTATATATATATATATATATATATATATATATATATATATATATATATATATATATTAGTTTTTTGTACTTAGAAAAGATAAAAGTTATTCCACGAAAGAACACGACGATCTTATACAATTTTTTAAAAATTCACATAGCAGAAGATTTAAAAGATGTCCCAAAGACATCCAGAGGATTGCTAAACGTCTGTTTAAGTCTTCAGAATATCCTAAAAATATTTCGAAGATTTCTGAATGTCCAAACAAGTTCCCAAGATATCTCTTCAAGATCTTGTGCTATAAAGGATTTCTTTTATTTGTCAGGTTTCAAAACGTTACATTACACAGCAGATTTGGGAGATCCGTCCATAGATGAAGACGTGAGATGCCTCTGTCGCGAATCTGATGGATGCATGCCGAAAAACATTTTTGACGCGGGTCCCTGCTTAAACGTGCCCATAAGAATAAGTTTACCTCATCTACTTAACTCCGATCCACATTATTATGAGCTGATCGATGGATTAAAACCCGATTTGGTTAACTTTTATAATTGTATATTTATAAACGCGTATTGTACACTATATCGATATATATATACTATATATTTTTTTTTTTTTTTTATTTTATCATAAATAATAAGTATCTTCGATATATAATCAGTCAGATAAATATAGATTAATAAAAGCTAAATGTTATGAGTTTTATTTGCGTGCGTAGTAATAAATTTAATGCATTGGATCACTATAAAAATAATATAAATAATTAAATATTTTGATTTTTAGTCTTCCTCGATAATGACAATTTTTAATTTACAGAATATAAACAACGTAACAATAAGTTACGAAATAATAAGTTATAATTATTAAAAAACACGTTAATAGTAGTTATAATAAATAAAAGTTAAAATAAATAATATATATATCGCTATTATATATCTTTTATTTATTATAATTATTATTAACGTGTTTTCTAATAATTATAACTTATTATTTCGTAACTTATTGTTACGTTGTTTATATTCTGTAAATTAAAAATTGTCATTATCGAGGAAGACTAAAAATCAAGATATTTAGTTATTTATATTATTTTTATAGTGATCCAATGCATTATTACTACACACGCAACTAAAATTTATAACATTTAGCTTTTATCAGTCTATATTTATCTGATTGATTATATATCGAAGATATTTATTATTTATGATAAAATAAAATTTATTATGGCAGCGTTTCTTTTTAGTAAATAGAAAATTATGTGTCACGAGAAAGTTGTAATTAAATATACTATTTGTAGGAAAAGCATATGATGACTTTCGACTTCGATCCGATGACAGGCACCCCACTGAAGGCGTTCAAGAAGATTGAATTCAACGTAATGATAGGACCTATCTCGAAGCTCAAACTGATGAAGTCTTTCCCAGAAGCTCTTTTCCCGATATTCTGGGTAGATGACGGAATCGAGCTCGGACCTATTCTCATGAAACCATTGAAAGTTGCATACATGCAGATTTTAATTGCAAAGTAAGTGATATTATCGAATTAATATTTCCACATAAAAGTATTAAACTATAAATCATAAAATAATATAAAATTTCAATCAATACAACATATCAAAGCGATTCTTGCGAAAGCAAACTCGATTTTGAGAGATTTTACTATTGAGAAGTATCGCGATAAGAAAACAAGACCCCAGACAACATAATGTCTAAACTCGGGACGTCTTTAAGACGTCTTTTAGACGTCTTATGTCCCGATTTTAGATATTATGTTGTCTGGGACATCTCGCATTTAGAGACGAGCATGAAAAACAGTGACAATATTCTAAAAATGAATTTATCGTAAAGATATGAATTCTCACATGGAAGAGCAAAATCGTAAAACGATTGATTGACATCTTTTACGTTCGCAGGATAGTACTTTGGTTCATGATGTTGAGTGGAATAGGCATGATGGGCGTCGCTGGGGTAAAATATTACAAAGAGAAAAATAGCAACAACGTAAACATGTCACCAATTCCGGACACAAAGCAGGAAGGAAATAATGCTCCAATGGCTCAGACGATGACTATCAGCACTATACCTGGTGTGGTACCACTCAGTATCGATTAACAGACGATAACCATCGTATTGTCAGCTTATCGTTGAAACTGAAAAATTGTCGAGAGCTGACATTGATAACAGGATGATGATCGCAGTACGTCGCGAATAATATTTTGCAAGATATCATTACTTCTTGATATTTTTTAATAATATATTTATTTTAGTAGCGCGACTTTATTATGATATATATATATATATATATATATATATATATATATATATATATATATATATATATA